TGAAACCATTCATCATCGTCGTCGGAGATGGGAGCAATAGAACCGTTGAGATAACCCTGAAGGTTGAACCGCCGTGCAAGAAGAAGGAACAAGCGGCTCCACTTTTTGTAGTTTGGTTGAGAAAAGCTGAGTTGGATTGGAACATGGAGTTTGACATTAGAGACGGAGAAAGCCAGATGTGGAGATTTTTGGGTGGAGGATTGAGAGGTGATTTCACTTTCGGCCATCGTAGGAGGGGGAGGAAGCTGCCGGCCGTGAAGAGAGGAGGAGGGAGACGGCGGCGCAAGTGGTGGTTCGGCGTAAGGGGAGGGCCGAAACTAGGGAAGATATTTTAGGGTTTTAGTTAGGCTCCGATACCATGAAGAAGTGGTATTTTCATTGATTAATTATGAGAGGAATACATGTATATATATACAAGGTCTCAATCCTAGTTATGTTAGGAGAGATATTCTAGGAAACTATACAACTATGAAAACAAATCATAATACAATAATATTAAATATATTTTATATATTTAACAAATAGCCTGCACAACAAAGAAAACTGCAGAATCATTGATTTTTTTATGTACCAGTCGAGTATGAGAAATGGAGACAACCAACCAAATGGTTTTAAATAAAAATCAAAGAGTAACAAAGAGTGACTTGTTTCCATTGTTAAATTCCAAGAATGCCAAACAAATTATTCATCAATAAAAAGAGTTTAGTTTCTAATAAAACACTACATTATCTCAAAATGATAACAAATTTATAGATATATAGTCCATACCTCCCCAAACAAATTGGCATTTCAACTAAATAGATCATGAGAAGTGATGGAAAATAAATACCTTGACCACTAGGGAAATGTAAATATTATTTTGGGACTGGACAAAAAGAATTCTAATTCCATTGATACACAAAGGCACAACTTAGTCTTTTCATTGCAAAATATAGTCCAATTTGATTTTCGAACTAAACTAGACAAACTTCAATCATGAACTACATTAAGTGAGTGTTTCTCTTTCTTTGTGCTGGTACTTATTGACTTAATGCTGATAAGCAGTTTTTAACTTATAAGCTGCTTATAAGTCAAATATTCTTTCATGGAAGTAAAATGACTTAAATGATAGATAAGTCACTCAGAAATATTCATAAATGGTGAGTCGACCCCACCTAGTGGGATAAGGCTTTGTTGTTGGTGGTGAGGGACACTTCTGTAAATATATTGTTTCTGGCTTATACGCCGCTTATAAGTCAGCTTATAAGCACACAAAAACATGTAATCAGCTCACTTATATGCACACAGAATTTGTTGGCATTGCATATTAATATGATGAAATATTTTTTGGTAGTTTTGCACAAGATAAATCTAAGCATATCATTTTCGCACTAACATCCAATGCAATTTTTAATCAACTTATAATGAAAAAAAGGCAAAATTCACAAGAATACTCTCAGAAATTTGAGGTTTTACATAAACACTCCCAAATTTGTTTATTTACATAGTTACTCCCATATTTGTCTATTATTTACATCGTTACTCCGTGATTGCTTCATCATCAGTGTTCTTCGGGTGTATCTTTTTAAACGGGGTTCTTAATATTTTTTTATTGAATTCAAATTAAATTAATATGAACAAACTTGATATTAAACATTAAAAAGATTTAGGAAGTTTGAAATCTGAATTTTTTAAAAAAGTGATGGAAATAAGGGCAATGATTAGGCTTACTAAGACGTGAGAAAAGTCGATGGAGAGAATAAGTTGAGGTGAATTTGGTATATATATTAGAGTGAAAAAATACATATCTGCATTTTAACTGCTCACTTAACGCAAAATATATGCATCCAAGTAACACTAATGACTACTACCAAATTTGGGAGCAATGATGTAAATAAAAGAAAGGGAGCGTCTAAAATGACACCACTTACTTATACACCAGTTGCTTACACCAGTTAGTTTGAGGTACCTACAGTGCTTCGTTTGTAAAAATGATGGTTCCTACCCCCTAACCCTCCCCCTAAACCCCCCACCCCAGCCCCCCCTCCCGCCCCCCACCCTACCCTGGCAGTATACTCCAGCCTAATCAGTGTACTGCCAGGTTATGGAGGGGGGGCGAGAGGGGGGGCTGGGGTGGGGGGCAAGGGTGGGCTGTGGTGGGGGGTTTAGGGGGGTAGGAACCATCGTTTTTACAAACGGAGCACCGTAAGTTTCCCAAACAAACTGGTGTAAGCAAATGACAGCAGTAGCACTGGTGTCATTTTAGACTTAAAAAAAATGTAAGAGTAATGATGTAAATAAACAAATTTTGGAGTATTTATATAAAATCTGTAATTCCTGGGAGTATTCTTGTTAATTTTTCCTAAAAAAAATTGTCTATTTTGACTCTAAAAAATATTAGAGGGTAAAATATTTTTACCTGACACAGTAAATGGCATGCCTCTGCAAATTTACCCATGGCCATCTCATCCTCAGCTCCCTTCCTCAAAACCAGTGCATCCAAACACTTCCTACTCTCATTCCCAGTGTCCCCCCACAGTCCGGGCCGAGGCAGAGGAACGACATCGTTTCGGCAGCGCGAGCGGGGGTGCCGCAGTGCTTGACAAGCACCGCATCTGGCAAGACGACGAGGTTCGGCCCGGCGCCGCATTTCCCGAGGCAGCCGCCGGCGGCGACGGCGACGTGAGGCGGAGCGATTCCGGACAGGACCCGAAGGGATTCGAGCGAGCCCTGTCTTCTGCACGCCCTGTTTGTACAGACTCTCAGCTCGATCTTCGTCTTCTTCTCGGCTTCCTCGGGTTGGAATTGGAGTGGGGATGATATGTGTGCCGGATTAGGTCTTGCTGGAGGTGAGATGGGACTGGAATTGAAGAGATTACAGTGAGAAGTTTGATGGATTTTGAGCTTCATTCTCCGATTTGTTGTTGTGGAAAGTCTGATTTGACCAAGATAAGCTCTTTGATTATAATGGGTTCACTTGGAAGACAGTCTCCAAGGCAAGCATCCCAATGCAATCCAATAGTTTTGAAATCGAAGTCTAATGAATTCTAAAATGACATGCTTTTAAAATTTTGAAAATATTTTTTTAAGAAACATATGACTACATGAGATGATGAGAGTATGGTTTTTAGTAGGGTTGGACACGATTTCGGTTTGGTATAATCGAAGCCGGCGGTTTTGAAACCAGAAAACGGGCCAGAACCGTGAGGTAAGCTTTCGGTTCTAGCTCTTAATTTTTGATACCGAAATCGCTACGAATTTGAAATTGGTTTGATTTTTTAATGTTTTTTACTTTTTTTACTAAAAACTTTTTATTTTAAAAAATGAAATCGAGACAGAACGGGGAACGCCCTTACATGGTATTGGTACCAAATCCCCAAAGAATGGGTCACGATAGCAATAATTCCAGAACGAGAACTAGACTGAGCCCTTGTTATTAGTATTTCTTTTTTCGTCTCAAAATAAAATTTCTGATTTCTTTTTTTTGTTAGTATAAAGTTCTTATTTTTTTTAAACAATTAAATGAGTGATCTATACTAATTATCTTTCATCTAGTCATCTAGATCAATTCCAAACAAACAATTTCATTTTTTAAAACTTTGTGAAAAAATGAGAAGTTTAATTTTAGACAGAAAAAGAAGATAGGAGTGCTTGACAACATGAAATGGTAGACAACGAGTGTCAGCAAAACAGGGTTGATGATTTTAATAGATATCAAAGTCTCGCATTGATATTTTCTTGATACTCTTTAAACTTTGGGATAAAATACTCCAATATAAGAGAACTTTGATATCTAGATATATCTAATTTGAGCTCTATTTAAACTTTACTAAAACACTCATAAAAAGATTCCAAAATTAATTGATATTACAGAGTATGAGTATAATATATGGAGCATATGTCTTCTTATACGATCGTACTCTCGCAACGAAGCCTAAATTGAATTAATTGGAAACACAATTAACTAGGCCAAATAGCGCCGGTACCCCTCGTGATTTGCAAAACATGCACCAATACCCCCTCTATTTTCAAAACTTATTTCTAAAGTACATGTAGTTTCAAAATGCTGCACCCATGCCCCCTCTGATCATTTTCCGGCCATTTTTTCGGCGAAGAAGGGGGGCATTGGTACATATTTTCTAAACCATAGGGGGTATCACTGCTGATTTTTATTTCTCATTTATTTTTTGTTTTTTAAATTTTTTTAATAATATTCTTAATATTTAAAGTTATTTTTGTTTGAAAAAATAAAATATAATGCATATGTACGTCTGAAATTAACAATTTTTTTTCTAAAAAAAGATTTTTTTTGAGAACTTTGAAAAAATGAGGAATAAAATAAGAAAAAAATAATACAAAAATTAAAATGAATATCTTTTTTGGACATCTCAATTCTAAGGACTTTTTTAGGTGTGTCCAAATTTTTTTGTATAAGACTTTTTTTTTGCGTATTTTAATTTTTTTCATTTCGTTTTTTCATATTTTTATTTTTTTTACTTTGGGTTTTTTCGAACTTTCCAAAAAATATTCTAAAAAAAGTGAAAAGTTTTAATTTGAGATAGATGTAATGTATGTTAATTTTTTATTTTTATTTTTATTTCAAACACAAAGAATTTTAAAATTTTTAAAACATTATAAAAATTGAAAGTATATTTTTAAAAAAATTTAGGAAAAGGAAAAAGAGATAAAAAAATATTTAAAAAAAAAAGAGAAAACACAAATAATAAACTAAAATAAGAAATGAGCATGAATGCCCCCTATGGTTTAGAAATTATGCGCCAATGCCCCCTCTTCGCCGGAAAATGGCTGGAAAATGATTAGAGGGGGCGTGGGTGCAACGTTTTGAAACCACGGGGACTTTAGAAATAAGTTTTGAAAACAGAGGGAGTTTTGATGCCAATTTTCTAAAACACGGGGGGCACCGGAGCTATTTGGCCCAATTAACTATAATACACCATTGTAATCCGACCTAAATTGATCTGAAGTTTAATTGAATAAACCACAATCTAGCCTGGCCAAATCTTTTCATCAGCATATATATTTTTATATATTTATACATTAGAAACGAATGATAAGAAAAGAAATATAATTATAATCTTATATTTATAATATTATACTTCATATTAAAATATATGATTTCCAACATTTCTTACATTAGCAGGTTAGTTCGGTCGCTTTCGGACTCGATCGTGTTTGACTCTTTTTTAACATGTCATTTTTGAGTTTCGTCAATTTTGACTTCGATTATCAAAAATGTTGTTCAAAATCCACTATTTCGGATTATTTTTTGACATGTTTATTTCTACTTTCTAGTTCTAGAGTAGAGTGGGTTTGGCCTCGTTTGACATTAGCATTAGAGATTAATATTAACGTTTTGAAAAGAGTATTTAATAATATCTTTTAGTATTAGCGTTTTCTAAATTAATCTAATCTTAAGTCAAAAAATCACCCCCAGGTACCTTCTATTTTGGAAGTATAACTGCGAGGTCCCATTAAATTTAAAAATCTACTGCGGGGTCTCTCTTGTTATCTAGTAATTAACTGGGTGGATACAATTCGTCAAATGCACCGTTAGTTACAGCCACTCCACTACATTCATTATTAATACCATTTGAAATTCCAATTGTAACCCTCCATCCTCTTCTTCTTCATACTCTGCTTCTAAGATACAGCAGTGCAGAGACATTGGGAGCTAGGGTTTGTGACGGGAAAGAGGTGTGCGAAGAAAAACAATAAAGGTATGGAGCTTCTTGATTTGTTCTTGCTTGTTTTATTTGTCAAGGGCTCCATATTCTTAGAAATAGTTCGTATTTGGCTTTGTGCTTTGTTTCCATGGGTTTTGATGAAATGGGGCTCATCGGTGTTGGTTGTGTCCAGGTTCAATTGCCGTTGAGTTCCTCAATAATGGCTCAAAATAGGTATGTTTATAGTATTGATGTTCCTCAACTATAGGGATTGCAATTCTATCCAAATCTAACGTTTACCTACCCGACATGTACCCAAACCGACCCGTAATAATTGAACCGAACCCAACACGACATGTTTCCTTACATTTTGACAAATATGCTAAAGAATTGTTGGTTTTTTGGTATAGTTATGGAAGTCACTCGGTCACGTCCTCAAAACGAGTTTGTGAGTATGGTGAATGGTTTGAAGTCCCTACTTGTAGGTGTGGCAAGGACATGAAAATGCTAACATCGTGGACCAAAAGTAATCCTGGTAGAAGATTCTGGACGTGTGCCAGAAATGTCGGTGAAGTATTATTATTTGTTTTACATTTTAGTGTTGATTTATTTGTTTCATGTGATTAATGTAAGTTGGTGTTGATTAGGGAACACGTAAATGTCAGAGCTAGTATTGGATTGACCCTGAAATATGCGATCGTGCTAAGAAGATCATCCCCGGGCTCTTAGACAAGATCAATGAGAAAGACAAAGAGATGGAGCAGCTAAAGAACCGTAATAAACAGAAGAAAAACATGAATGTCATCCCTTTTATGTTTGGTTTGGGTGTAGGACTTGTCATCCATTATGTTTTCCTTGTGTTGTTTATGTAAACTTTAGAAAATTTGACTTTGGCCATGAATGGAATTTCAACCTATGTCTCCGTATTGGCTGTGGCACTTGTATGGTTTTTATTTGTAATGAAATCTTACTATTGCTGGATTGTATCAATAGAATATATCTGCCAGATTTTATTTGCTTACACATGTGAATGTCAAAACAAAGTGACCAAAACAAGGCTTTGGCTATGATTTAGAATGTATAATTCAGGAACTGACCAAAACAAAGCAACACTTTCACTTTGAATCAGGAACTGAAGAAAACAAGTCTTTATAAAACAAGATAGAGTATATAATCCACTCCAGTTTATACAAGTGACACAACTGCCAGCACCCAAAACATGAACAAGGGAATGCCAAAATGTGTAGGACTTCTATGCAAATAGAAATCCATCAAAACATTTTAGAATCCAAAAACCAAAAAAAACTGCAAATCTGTTACAGACAGAAGCCAACACATGTTATTGGCATTGCTAAGCTCAAAAACTGTTACAGAACCAAATGTTACAAAAACTAAGTGTTTGTGCTGTGATGAGCATCAAAATGACAAAAAACCATGAATAAACTACATGTCTTCAAACACAACACAAAATCTCTGCATTCCTAATCTTTCTTGGCCACTTTCTTCTTTCTTGTCTGCTTCTGCACCAATTTGCCATCTTCATCCCTCTTTTTACCACAGGTCCTATGGTTATGGCCTTGTTGTTTGCACTTCCCACAACATTTTGTTCCATGAACCTAATTGCTCATGCCTATCATCAACTATTTCCCTCATCAACTTAATTGCTCTCCAACAAGTGTATTTAGGTATGTAAGTGGTGAACTTAGACAAAACCAACTTCTGCAAAGTGCTTGCCTTCATCTCCTTATTACTTCTGAAGTCTTCAAGAAAATGGCTAGCAACCCAAGAAGCTCCTGCCCTCTTATGGTGCTCTTTCACAGAACAAACATGCTCCTCACACAAGGTCTTTATCATCCAAGAGTGCCTATCAACTAGAACAGAAGCATGTATCCTAAACTTGCAGTTCTCATTTATACAAGTATGAGTGTATCTTCTTTTGTCATTCTTTAGTTTTCTAAGAGTTATTCCTTTCTGAATAGTATAGTCCTTCATGACTCTAAGAAAATCCTCTTTGCAACTAAAAATGTCTCCAACCTTTCCATCCCTACTTCTTACCCAAAGCCTACCAGTGCGAAATACCTTGGCCATTTTTTCAACAACTGACTCATTACCATACTAATCTTCATCTTCATCCATGTGGTCCAATCTCATTCTATTGGCAGTGTCAGCTTCAACATCTATTTCATCATCTGTCTCTGATTTTTCATCCATGGAAAGTTCCTCACTGCTTAAAGATTCAGTGGAGTCTTCACCCCCATCAAAGTCATCATCTTCAGTGGACTGATCTTCTTCATCAGTATCAACCTGTCCACTTTGAATTTCAGCTTGTGAAGGAAGCACAACCTCTTCAAAAAATATATCTAGGGTAGGAATTTCAGGTTTGCTCAAACTAGGTATGTCATAAGCTTCTAAGCCTTTCAATTCCTTGCTCAACAATTTCACATTCAATTCAGTAAGCTCAAACTATTTTCTTCCTCCCTCCTGAGCCTTCCTTTTCTTCTTCTTAGGTGTCCTGGGAGTCTTATCAACCTCCTCTACAATGGTGGGAGAGTGTTGTGTAGAGGAGTTTGTAAGAAAATCAGCTAAGAGATGAGAGGTATTAGGTGCTGGTGGAGTAAGAGTAGGCAATTCTTCAGCTTCAATCAAAGACGGTTGGGTTTGCACTTTATCTCTCACACTCTTGTCCTGCCTTCTCACTATTAACTTGGCTTTGCTACAACTCCTAGGTTGACTATCAATAATGTTACCACACTCTGTTGGAGTCACAAGTAGATTATCAGCGTAGTGCTCAATTTCAGTCATACAAGCCTCATTATACTCTTGGGTACTGGAATCAAGACCCTCTGCCATTTTTTGTAGTGCACTAGGCTCTTGCAACTCAAACACAAATAAGGGAATGTAAGTACAACAAACCCCACCCCATTCAGCAACCATTCTATTCCAATCTGAATCCAACATAAGTGGCTCTCTCTGAAGTTCTTTGCCTGGTAAATGATATCTAAATCCAATGAAACTAGGGAGACTTATATTCTGCTCTTTAGCTCTGGAAATTACATCAGCATACAAATCCTTGGTGAAGTACATATCCAAATCAATGTCTTCTATTTCAATCCATTTGTCTTTTACATAAACTCTAAATCCAATAGGAGGCTGAAATTTAAAAAATTGAAGAGTAAAATAAGCAATAGTATACACCCAGTATTCAATAGAAAACAAAACATTAAACTGGCATAAACCTTTGGAATTCCTTACTCTTCATACTCAATTTCATGTCCAGTAAATCGCATAATATAAACAAATTCAAAGTATCCAAAGCTTCGTTTCATGTCTAGTAAAATCGAGTAAATAGAAGATGACGAAGAAAATTTTTGAAGAAAATTGACTGTATAAATTCCAAAGGTTCAAGCTGTAATTACCATTCTTTGTAGGTCTTCGATTTTTCCTTTTCCGGAAGTTTAAGGAGGAAGACGATGAAGTCAAATAAAGTCAGACACACGTTTATACCTCTTTTTGGAAAAAAAATAGGGGTATAACAGACATTTCACAGCCACTAATGGTGGGTTTGACGGATTGTACCCACCCAGTTATTTACTGGATAACAAGGGAGTAGATTTGATCTTAAGTTCTATCCAAAGCTAACTGAAAAGGCACTTTGCCAAACGAGAAAAGTGCACCGTTTACCCTCGAATTCTTTGAAAATTGCACGGTTTACCCCCGAACATTAAAAAGTGCACCAAATACCCCTGGATTCTTCAAAAATTGCACGCTTTACCCCCGAACAATAAAAATTGCCCCAAATATCCCTAAACTCTTCGAAAACTGTACTGTTTACTCCTGAACGTTTAAATAAAGACGACATTTTTGGGGAAAGGTACTTTGGAAAATTCACAAGGGTCAGATGAATCATATTCGCAATTCTTGTGCGTGGAAGCAACGCACTCCCTATCTAATAGTTTAGGGCCAACGATGCAACGTTTTAATTTGTTCAAGGGTATTTGGTGCATTTTTTAGTATGCAGGGGTAAGTCGTGCAATTTTCGAAGAGTTCGAGGGTAAACGGTGCACTTTTTATAATTCAGGGGTAAAGCATGCAATTTTTAAAGAGTACCAGAGGAAACAAGTTTGCCAAACATAGACTAGTTCCGTAGAAGATAAAATAGTGAGTTGATAGAACTCAGCGGTAGAGAAGACTGAAGAGAAGGCGGTCCGCCTCCGACGAACAGTTTCCGCCTTGCCGGCGTACCACTTCCATTCAACCCTTTTGAGCTTTTCCCTGTTCTCAAGACTACGGCGTACAGGTGAATCGAATCCAAACCTTGCGTCAAGACGTCTAACCCGTCGGAACTGCGATGATGGACATGCACACAAGCTGTTCGACAAAATTCCTCTTCAGGATCGCCAAATACTTTCCCCCTTCCAATCGGTTCACTGGTAGAAAAATTACGAAGCCCCCATCTTCAAGGGCCATGATGACCGGAAAACCTCGAGGAAATGGGTGGTGGCAGAGGGGAGATTTCTGCCTTCTCTATGGCTATGGCAATGGATTGAGGCTTTCTGCGGTGTTGAACTGCTCCAAATCTGCAAAAGCCACTGACGAAGAATCAACTTGTGGGCTTGAGAAGCATTTCTTGGTGGATTTTCTCACAGCCTCCTCACTCAGCTTCTCCCAAGATGATGCCATCTCCGTGGCTGCCAAGGTAACCACATCTAAACCTCGAACAAAACCCGATTTAGTCGTTGATTATCTGAAGACTATAGGTTTGGAGCCTGCCCATATCAAGGCTGTTGTTTCCAAGCATCCCAAATTGCTATTATCTGACCCTGAGAAAACCATTCGCCCGAAAATCCAGTGCCTTCAAGAGCTCGGGCTGTCCGGGTCAGATCTTGCCAATTTCATTGTTAGGGATGCTTCGTTTCTCTTTAGGGGACTAGATACCCATTTAAGGCCCAGCATTCGTTTCCTCAAACAAGTCGCGGGTGGCAATGACAATGCTGTGAAAGCCCTGAAGAGATCGGGTCGGTTTCTTTCATTCGGTAGACCAGACCGTATGGAAGAGCACGTCCGGCTTTTGAGGGACTACGGCATTCCAGAAGATAAAATCCAATGGTTTGTAGTGGCAAGACCAAATGTTTTAACCAAAACCCCCGATTGGACCCGCAAGATGCTAAACACAGTTGAAACTGAGATTGGGTTGTCGCGAAACTCCCCAATGTTTTACAGTGGATTGTGCGTGGCATCTCAGATGACCATGTCAACTGTGAACAGAAAGGTTGACATGTTCAGAAGCCTGGGGTGGAGTAAGCCACAGATTTCTACTCTGGTGCAAAAACAGCCTCATTGCTTGATGCTATCCGAGGCCAAGTTGAGAACGAAACTGAACTTTTTAATGAAGGAACTTGGGTATGGGCCGCATTACTTGGCGGATCGCCCCATGTTGATAATGTCTAGTTTGGAGAAGAAGACCATCCCCAGGAGTCGAGTGCTGAAAACTCTTGAAGAACGTAAGCTGAGCGTTTGTTCACTCTTCACTTCCTTGTTTTTCACTGAATCCAGGTTTTCGGCGCGGTTTCTGCTGCCTTACAAGGATGAGCTGCCTGATATGTATGACAGATACATGGCTAGTATAGCTCCCTGATGCAATGTAAGATGCTTCTTTCTATGGCTTTGATGTTAGTAACCGCATTTGTAATTAGCGTTAGAGTTCTGGGAATGGGTTAGAAGGTACTCTTGGACATACATAGGCCGGGCTACTTGGACGAAAAACAAGGTCTGAAGTTTGTGCTTTGAAAACAAGGAAAAACCCATTAAATAAATGGGTAGGACTTTGGATAAGCCCGAGCTTCAAGTGTTTTAATGATCTACAAAGCACAATATGCTATGGCTCCGTTTGGAAAATGGCATTTCAGCGCAAGATTGGCTTTGACTATATTTAGCTGTTTTGAATAGTCAAACAGCTAATTTAAGTGTTTGCATAATGGCTTTGAGTATATTAGTTCATTTAAAAAAACAGCATCTTTGTTATTCAAAAAGAAAAAAAACAACTTCAATCCTTCAAAAGTTCAAAAAAGATCAGCAGCTTCAAATTATGGATGATGTATGATGTTTGTCTTTCTTCAAAGCTAGGTTCTCAATACTCAAATATATATTACTGTGGGAAAAATATGATCTCTTCTCCTAAATCTAAGCATTGGCCAAAAAAAGATGCAAGAGAGAAAAAAAGGATAAAGATTCAGTGCAATTGATCTTCACAATATAGGAAACAGGAATGAAAAATAAACAAAAAGAAATAAAGATGCCTCAAAGTGAGATAAGGATGTAATTTTTGGAGAAAAAGATGCTCCATACCGAGTAAAGAAATATAATGAGAAACCCAAAATGATATAAAAAATGTCATATGTATATAGAAATTTAAGTTACCTAAAAAAATATAAATGAAAAAAAATTAAGGAAGTTTACCTAAAACCTATGGAGGATTATTGGGACTGAGGAACATGGTATTATGGAACTGAACCTATATCCGCAATTATTGGTGGGATGTGGCTAATAATAAGAAAAATCTTTGGGTTAAATAGATCCATGAGAGATACATAATAAAGGGGGATATAGACAACTATAAGCTAAAAGGTGATTGTTGCTTTTACTGGAAGAAGATTATACATAATAAAAAATGGTTTGAATCTAGGGTAATGAGCCAGACCACCACTACATACTGGGGAAGGAGGACAAAAAGGTAGTCAGAGGTAGATAGATTTGATTTTATTTTGAAGTTGAAGATGTAATTTTCGTAGCTTTTGGGCAAGCCCTGCTGTAAACTTCTTGGGGTGAATGAATGAAAATGGGTGCACTTTGTGTGTGTGTAGACACACACATTAAAATACAAAGTGTGTAGTATAATATCCTTATAGGCAATATCATTCGCAACAGCTATTTATGAGCAGGTAAGTTTGTCAAACATTTTTTGATAACAACCAATACCACCAGCAAGTCAAAATAGTTAACTCAATCAACCATTCAAACATGCCGACATAAACAACCAACAACCATTTTCCAAACAAGGTTCATATGTTGTATGTATACGGTATGTGAATGGGAGAATATGTCCATTATGATTTTTTACACAATGTGTTTTAGATTGAGTAGTTTTTAAATTTGTAAATTTTTTTATTATTCCAATACCAGATTATAAATAGATTTTTCTCAAAAATCGCGAGATTTTGCCCATCGTTCAAATAGAAAACTTCTTTTAATGACGGAGGGAGTATTTTTTTGGGAATTACTACAGGGTTGTTTTATTCTAGGTAAAAAAAAAGTACCGCGTATTTTTTTAAAAAAAGACAAAAGGAAAAGTGTAAACACTTGCAAAACTCTATGCTATATGTGGAGTCCGTATATGGTACAACTGATTGTACTAGACGTAAGGTACGAGCAGACATGCTCAAACATGGATGAGTCGAGTGGAAGGTCTTGGTCATGAATAGGGATGTAAACAAATCAAATATTTTAAATTCGATTCGCGATTTGTATTCGAATATGATGATTCGAATTCGCGTTATTCAAATACAAATTCAAATTCAAATATTATTTTTGATTCGAATATTAATCAAATACAAATACAAATAGGGATATATTCGATTCGGATGATATTCGAATATTCGAATATATGTATATATACACAGACCATGTTTTCAATATCAAAAGTCAAACAAAGTAATATAGTATAAAGTGTATTTAAAATACTAAGAATTCAATAAATTAACGTAACACGAAAATTTAAAGCATATGATTTTTAATAGTTATATTTTATAAAATATAATTTGTGTAAGATGCAGATGTATTAATGTTTTTATATACGGAATATAGTATAGTATAAAGAGTATCGTAAGTTAAATTACAAATTGATGTTGGTCCATCATATAAATTACATAGCATGATTATTCAAATATTCGTTTATGATTCGATAACTATTCGAATATTAATCAAATACTTATTCAAATCTTATTTTGAATTCGTCTCATATTCGGATTCGGATTCGTATTCGAAAAAATTAAACAAATACAAATTCAAATGTATCGGTATTCGCTTCGATTCGGTTCGTTTACACCCCTAGTCATGAATGAGCCAAGGAGACATGCTCGGCTTACTCATTACCCAGCACACGAAGTGTTTCCTCAGGACGTGGCTTGTGCGGTCTAATGTGATCTTTCTCTGTACTCTTCTTGGTGACGTGGGGTTAGCGTCCATCAGTTTTTATCCATGTCACTTTTTTTATAATTATACTACTCAAACTTTGATCGTTATTTAAACAAAAATTATATTTTCTTATATAAATTTTTCTATACTTAAATATATATAAAAACAAATCAAATATAATTAAAAATGTTTTAACTTATTTTAAACCTATTATTATTCTTATAAAATTTACTCCATATTATTTTTCCTCAAATTACATAAAAATATGATATTAAAAAGAAGAGTAAATTTCCAAAATGATCTTTCCTAATAAATTATTTTCCTAAAAATGATTACTTATAATTAAAGATGCGTATCAATAAGATAGTAAATTTCTAAAATAGTCCTTTCTAATAAGATTCGGAGTATTTTTTTAAATAAGTCCTCAATAAATTCTAATTACTTCAGTGATACTTAATAAATGAGATTTATTTCTTATTTAAACCTCCGTAAAAACATTACTTAAATGTCAATTAAGTGGAGGATATTTTTTGTATCCTGCATCATCTAAACTTAAAGTTAGCTTTCAAAATGACTATTTTAAATGAAGTGTTTTTTCAAAATGGTTTTTTCTAATTAAGGAGATGTATCTTTATATTTTTAATAATTCATGAATGATGTGTTGTCAATGATTATTTTAATTTTATACTCCCTCCGTCCCGAAATAGATTACAATATTCCCTCACATTTTTGTCCCAAAATGAATTACAAAGTCAATAACTTTACAAGGAATTGACTCTTTTACCCTCCCACTCCTACACTATTCACACACTCTTCATCCATGTGAGTGGGAAGGATACTTGGGGGGTAATTTGGAGAAAAAAAATTGATTTGACTTTTTCTTAATTTCAACAAAAAGAGAATATTGTAATCTAAAGTGAGAGGGAGGGAGTATGAAATTATGTAGGAGCTACTATTTTAAATACCGGAGTAGTTACTTTAAGTTTAAATAAAAGAAAATACAAAAAATAACCTCCAATTAATGATCATTTAAATGACATCTTTTACAAAATATTATTTAATGAATAAATCTTAATTATAAAATTTCATGTGTATATAACTTATTGAAGACTAATTTAGAAAAAACAGTTACTCGGAGTAATTGATTGTTGTTTAGAATTTACTCTTAATAAAAATAGCTAGGCTACCACCACATGGGTGCTACTATGGGTGCACCCATAGTTCACACAGACAAATACAGAAGATAATTATCTGTGTGACATAGACAATTATTGTTTGTACTTGTCTGTGTAAAGCATGGATTTGGATTGCACCCATAGTAGCCTAGCATTATTCAAATATTAGAACCGGTCAAGCCTAATCCTACCGGGAGTCCGGACCTGTCGAACTACCGACGATCTAAAAAATCTGTTGGTCCTAATATCGCGGCGGAGCATTGGAGGAGAAGTCGATGTCGGATCCGTACGAGAGAGCGAAAGGCGGGAGGCTAGCCTTCAAGGGAGGCGACCTCGCGCTGAGCAGCAAGGCAATCGACAAGAAGAAGAAGAGGAGGAAGAAGAAGGACAGAAACAAGTCCTCCGGCGATGATTTCGTCTCCGAGGAGCCTTTGTCCGGCGACGCGGCCCTCGCCGCCTCGGAGCCGGGTTCGGGTTCGTGCCCGGATGGAGGAGACGCCGATATCTACACCATTGACGCGGCGAAGAAGATGAAGTACGACGAGTTGTTCCCTGTTGAAGCGAAGAAATTCGGGTACAACCCCAAGGCTAAATCCAAGTCCGTCGAAGAAGCCCTAGATGATCGGGTCAAGAAGAAGGCAGATCGCTACTGTAAATGAAAGGTCAGGTTTTTAGGTGTTTCCACAAACTTTACATGGTTTTTATGTGGATTTGTGGTTTTTTTTAAAAATTACTTTTTCATATTAGGGTTTCCAAAAATTCTGATAATTTTCGAATTCCCCATTTCGAATTTGATAAACTTCTGTGATATATAGATTGGTATTAAATGCTTTCATCTTGTTTGTGAATCAATGCTTAACAATAGTTTCTCTTAGTGCCCTATGATTAAGGCCTTTCATTTTGAGTTACGAGATTAACGGTTCTCGGATGCACAATTTATGTTTTAAATGGATTAGTTGAGAATAGTTAAGGTGTATGCCCTATATGATAGAAATTCCACCAATGGCTATTCTTGGGGTTCACATTAGTCTAATCATCAAGATTTATAAATAGAGGGTTTAAAAAGTTAAAACCTGATTCACAGCCTCCGTGCCTTTTCTCTTTACGCCCTTCACGTTTAAAAGAAGATGTTTACACCCATAAAAGATTAAACTTGGAACAATAGAGCTACCTAGGCATAATTATGGTGACCTACATCTCTTCCCCCCTAAAGCTAAAGGTTGACATTTCTCGTTCGCCACGCAATAGAGAGTGTAAAGGTTGAACCGTTGGATGTTACGAAATGTACCCAAATACCCAATGTTCATTTAGAAACTAGCTGTCCATTACTCACCCTATAGTCAATAGCAATTTTGCGCTCCAATATTGATACTTGCACTCCAAAATTACTCTATATGCAAAAAGCATACTTCCACCTTCCATTCTTTCCTAGACACTTTCATGTTCAAGCGTGTTACAAAGTTTACCCAATGTTATTATGTTTGAAGTGTTTTCTATGGGGCTTGGCGAGTTGATCTATCATTTATCAATTGATCACTCTTACTGAGAAGTGACAATGGTTGTGC